ATAAACAACATTTAGTATTATCCCTGATGGATAAAGTAGACATGCATCTTCTACCCTACTCCCCTGCAAAGCAAACAACAGCATATAAAACTGTATCTGCTAGTCAAAGAGAGCGCAGTCTTTGCAATTTACTCTGAACGACCCCTGTTAATTGACAGTCACCTCTTTTAGTAATAGGTATGTCAGCTCCTTCAATCATTTCATTCATTCCATAGCTAAGTCTTTCAGGCCCCCAGCATGCATTCTTAAGAAGTGATTCCCCACTACAGATTCTCCCTTCTTCTTCAGGGAACAGCCTCCTTTCAGTTCTATAGATTCTCAGTTGGAATTGCCAACTCTGACTTTACCTCACCTTCGTTTTTAAACTCTCCAAGTGCATTGCAATTTCACAACACAGAATTGTGTATTATGCAAATACAATTATAATAAAATACAACTTACTAGATCTTCTGGATAATCATCATAATCAGAGTCATCTGTGGCACTTCCTGAAGTCCTTTACATGGACGGAAGACAAAAACTATTAGGGTATCGGAGCAGAACTGCAAAGGAGACACCCCCAAAACAAAACAATGCAATTTCTACAACGTGGCTCCTTATACCCATGATATGCAGCCTAAGACTGGAGAAAAATCCCTGACTTGCATGCTCTAAATTTACTCCTATGAAGAGTTAAAAACCACATCCTTTCCAAGTCTGCCATGAGTTAGATCAACTTTGCAACCTGGCTGAAAGACTGCCCTAAAAAAAAGTGGTGTAGGATCAATCTAATTCAGTTCACCAAGAGATCACACGATCTCCAGTGCTGGCACAAGGGAAGTACTAGCAATTCACTGCTGTACTGGACTAGTTCTTCTGTCAACCATGTCCTAATTTCCTATGAGACCCTTAATGTCTATCAAAGGTTAGTGAAACCAGAATGGTCCATGAGACTATGCAGAACTGGGAGTCAGGAAACCTCAGATCCAGCGGTGATTTACTCTGAATAGCCTATCTTGTAGCCTTTTCGCTCAGATTCAGTTAATGTCCCTCACACCCAAGAACATTTAAACACAAAACAAAACTAAGGAACTGAATCATATGAGGACTGGGGCCTCTCGTGGAAAACTATCGAGAAAGCCTCAAGGTTATCCACTAATTAAGGGCTATATGATCCCCATAACAGAAAAATTGTGACTGGTTCTAGTATCTGCTTGTCTTCAGTGAAAAAAGTGCTTCCATTCACTACAGGTAATTTCTGATGAAGACAGGCCTATGGGAAATCAAAGATCTGTCTGTAACCTTAAAGCTACCAAAATTTAATAATATGCAGAAAGACAGTTTTAAAGAAGTCACAATATTAATGGCATTATTAAAGTAATCTAATGGTAAAAATTCTTCTTACTCATTTTTCTCTTGCTGTCGTGCTCTTTTTGCCACATGTTCGGCTTCTAAACCTGCTAAATCTTCACGTTCTTTTTCATTACTGATTATTCCAAACACTAAAAGGAAAGGTTCAAACATGTTAAGAAAACAGCCAAAGCATATTCAAAAAATTTGATCTTAGACATAATACTAACAGAAATACCTTTTTCAACTTGTATTCTAAAAGCATTTCGTTTTCTTCGTCCATAGTCCGCACTGAAAAAAAAAACCAAATAAACAGGTTACACCAACTGCTTCTTCCCCCAACACAGTGTCATTTTCAGGGGGGAAAAAATACATTGTCAGTTGAAAACCAAACTTTTATAGAAGCTGTTATTAAAAACCAACTATGTGAACACATGATCCTTTTGTCTTAAGCCTGGAACAGCTCAATCACTGGGATGAAACAAAAGCACTAAACCATACTGGTCTCTAAAGGGATGTTTAGTTAATACTATCAAGATCCTTTTTAGCTGGAGATACAGAGAAGCAGCAACATACAAATGATCACACTGGATTCTATATGGACACAGGACTAGAAAGGACAGCCCAGTGAGGAATAACTGTGCTGATCAATAACGGTCACTATAAGAAAATCTGATTCAATGAGCACCCTTAAATGCAAACAAAAATCATCAACCTTTTACCTTCACTTACTGAGGGTATATTTTATCTATTTGCTTTTATAAAATCGCTGAAAGAGGAAAACCAAAACAAAATCCCAAGACCTGTAAGCATCCTAAGCAAAGGGTTTGGGTCCCTTTCTCTAACAAGGCACAAATAGAACACACAAACATGAATGAATATAATTCTCCACCTTCATTAACCCCCACAGCCACCAAAGACCTGCTGACACACAACCTTGCTCCCACCCATATCAGCCTAAAATTAATTAGGCAAGACTGACCATCCTGCTGAGCATCTGAGCAAGATTTAGTGTCTTGCTGAACCGCTATCTCCCCCATCTACCTGCACCGAAGCATTATTTTCCCTAACATTTCAGCTCACTGAGGGTAAGGACCAACATGCTGTAATACATCTGCAGCTGTTTAATTAAAACAAAAAAAGCAGCCCACAAAAAAACAAACCACAAATAGATCTTGCAATGCCAGTGCATTAATAAAATATGAGTTACTAGATATATCAGCAGATGGAAACACTGCTAAAGTACAAATCTTTGCTCACCTGTAGGTTTTCTGCAAATCAGATGCTAGGATTCCAATGTCAACATACTGGCCACATTTACTACTTGCAAGATACTGAAATGAAGAGTTTTAAGCAGCAAATGAAATCTTTGTCAATCACTTCACTAGAACAAATAGATCAAATATGCCTACTTTAAACCCTACTCTTCTTAGAAATGAAAATTGAAAACAGCTTTGAACTGCCTTGGAACACACTAGACAGTATTTCCCAATGAAACAGGAAAGCTTATTAAGACACAGAAGGGAAAAGCAGCACACTGTATTTTGACACTTGCATGATCTCTGCTGGTGCAATGCCATTGTTTTTATTTAGCAAGAAAGGTGACTTTGTAAATTGTCAATCCTTCTAAAGTTCTTGATTTCTCTCAGTTAACCTCCTTCTGGGTTTAAGTCTCCTACCTTAAAAATGAAAGAACCTACACCAGTTAGTATGGATACTGTCACAATAAAAACTTTAACCTTTACAAAATGTTTCAATGAATGCTCTAGAAAAGTATATAAATTACAGTAAATTCTATACAGCTTTTCCTTTCCTTTTCTTTTTTTTCTGACAGCAGCTGATCCAACCATTTTCAAACCACAGTTATGAAAGTGCAAGAAAATGTACAAAATTTCAGGTGCAACTGGACTCCATTTGCTTTCTCTCCCCACTCTCCAAATCAGGAGCAAGAAGAAGTTTCAATATGGTAATCACCAAATCACAGAATGGTTTGGGTTTGAAGGGACCTTAAAAATCACCTGGTTCCAACCCCCTGATGGTGGATTTTCCTTCTTAGAGAAAGGAGACACAATGTCCCTAAAAGAGATAGCATTACCAAGGCTGCAGCAAGAAAACTTTAAAATCTCATTTAAATTAATACCTCTTTTTAAAATCAAACTGCTTAATATTAAATTCAGAATTCCTTTTTTAAATGATGTGACACTTCATGTCACCCATGAGCAACTACTGACCTACAGAAAAAAATCAAGCCCACCATAAATCCAGCTGCATTTCTCACTTCAGAATAGTCAAGACAATTTCACTGTGATCTTGAAAAGTAAAATAAGCAACTATCCTCAAGCAGCCACTCGCTTTGAAGGAATTAGAAGCGGAGTACTTATACACAGACTCAGAGAAATGTTTAATTCCCAAGTCACCATAAATTTTCAGAAGGTGTGACACAGCACTATGCCACCTGAAGGAATCCCTGTTTTCCCTGCTCTTCACGGGTGTATTGTGGAAGTAATCATACTTCTTCCTTTTTCTTCAGTCAGCGATTAATATAATCGATGTACATGTTTCCAAAGGTAAACACTACCAATTTGGCTACATATTCTCCAAGTGCATTTTCTCTAGACTACACTGGAGTACTGTGTCCAGTTCTGAAACCCCCAACATAAGAAGGATGAAAACTTGTTGGAGCAAGTCCAGAGGAAGCCATGAAGATGCTCCAAGGGGCTTGGAGCAGCTCTGCTTTGGAGACAGGCTGAGAAAGCTGGGCTGGTTTATCCTGGAAAAGAGAAGGCTCCTTAAGGGGAGACCTTAGATCAGCTCCCAGTGCCTAAAGGGGCTATAAAAAACCTGGAGTGTGGCTTTTAAGGCCTGTAGGGACAGGACAAGGGGGAATGGCTTTAAACTGACACAGGGGAGATTCAGATTAGACATTAGGCAGAAGCTCTTCCCTGTGAGGGTGCTGAGGTGCTGGCACAGGGTGCCCAGAGAAGCTGTGGCTGCCCCATCCCTGGCAGTGTTCAAGGCCAGGCTGGGCAGGGCTTGGAGTAAGCTGCTCTAGTGGACGGTGTCCCTGCCTGTGGCAGGGGGTTAGAACTGGATGAGCTTTAAGGTCCCTTCCAACACAAACCATTCCATGGCTCTACGACATCCATCTGATTTGAAACTGCAGCCAGCTTCGGGATCAGAAATACTGAAGAATAAAACAAAACGAAACACAATGCCAAAAACAAATAACTCCCCCCATTTCCAAACCCCGGAGAGGCCAGGCCGCGTCCGGGCACCCTCCGCGCCTCCCTCCCACCCCTGAGCAGGCCGATGGCCCAGACCCTGTCCGCAAGGCGGGGTGGCGGCCCGGCGAGCCACGCAGTCCTGCGGGAGCCCCCCCTCGGGCCGCCGCCCGCCCCGGTACCTGCTTAACGCGCTGCTTCAGCCGCAGGTCCACGAAGCGCCCCGGCCGGCTTCGCATCGCTGCCCGCGCCGACGGCACTGAGGCCTGCCCACCGCTTCGCCTGCGCCGGGCGGCCGAGAGCCGCTAGGCGGGAATTGCGCGCAGGCAGCCCCAGGGCGCCTCAGCCGCGCCGCCGCAGGCCCACCTTTGAACCGCCGGCCTGCACCGGCGGAGCGGCGCGGAGGAGCAGCTCGCTCTGACTGTGCCCCGCCGCTCACGGTGCCCTTCCCGTCGGGGCTCTGTGAACCCTCCGCCACCGCGGCGTCTTCAGCAAGAGCCGGGACGTACCCGCCTGCCACCGCCCGGGAGCGACTGCTGAGGAGAGCGGGCGGAGACTCCATTTCCCAGCATGCTAGGAGGCACTGCGCGGCCCTGCCGGGCGGGGGAACAGGGCGTACGGCGGCCGGGAGGGCGGCGGCCGCGGCGGGATGGAGTCGGTGGTCTTCATCTTCTCGCTCATTGACTGCTGTGCCCTCATCTTCCTTTCCGTCTACTTCGTATCCTTTTTCTCTGGGGTTGGCGGGCGACCGGGGTGGCCAGGGTGGGGGCTGCGGCAGCCCCACGGCGAGACCGAGGTGGGCCGGGCCCATTGAGGTGTCTCTGAGGGCAGGCGAGCGGGGCCGGCGCCGCCGGGCTGGCGGTGGGCTGAGGGCGACGGGACGTGAGGGTCTGTGAGGTAATGTCCGCTGGCGGCTGGTGCCCGGGGAGCCGGTAGGGAAGGGTTCAGAGAGACGGGAGTGCCGCGTTGTAGGGAAGCGGCGGGTGCTCCAGTGCCCGAAATACGGTCGCTGCTTCGGGAGCTGGAGCTCAGGGGGGGCTGCAGGCGGCCACACATCGCGGCTCAGCACAAGTAGCGTATGCTTGGCGGTGGGGGGGGTGTCAAAGCGTGCTCCATGCTCTCACAAACCGCACAGGCCTGTAAAACACGGTCATGCGGGAGCTTTAATTGTAAGGATACCCCACGAGATTTCAGATGTGAGCTCACAGCTGGGAGACTGCGAGTTCCTTGGCAAACGGAATTCCCATAGTGTTTATTACAGACTTGCCTGTGGGTTTTGCTGCCTGGCCTTGTTACGATGTAGAAGCGCCGACTGGGCTTTGCTTTCTTATTTTTCTGAGTACGAGAGAATGGCCATTCATCCTGGTGCTAGTTCAGAATCTCTCCAGTTCTTGTAATAGGAAAAAGTACAGAAGCACTTGAAAGAAATTAATCCTAGAAGGTTAGGTTGTTTGTTGAAAAATGTAAAGGCTTTACCTAGGGATTCAAGAAATCTTGTGCTTTTTCATTTTCTTGGAGAAAAGGAGCCTGAGCTTTACAGGGCATAGCGTAATGATGTGTACATCCGAAGACCTTTTTTAGAGGGCTTTTCTGTCTGAAGTCTTCTCTTTTTCAATTGCTGAAAGTTCATTTCATAATGATGTTACCCTCTTTTTTCTAGCCAAGTTTGAATTCAGCCAATGTTGCTGTAAATGTAAAAACAAAAAGTAGATACGCTTCAAAAACCTGCACTGTTGTGCACTTTATTGTGAGGAGAGTTGAAAGACTGCATTAACTTTTTCTTCTAAGTTGTGGTTTCAAGTGTTGTAGTAATAATTCTGATACTAAAAATACTGAGTTTGCCTCCTCCGTCTGTTCTTAGGGCTGAACTGAACTTTAGAACTTAGGCAACAGTTGCCACAGGAAAAACATTATAAAATCACTTGGCCTAGTGATAAAATCTAGCCTAACTTGCAACCTAAAGCCAGAGTTAATTGTAACCAAGTGAAATATGCTTTTGTCAGATCAGCTGTAGAACAGGACAGTCTATGCTGAGAGCAGAGTGCTCTCCACAAGTTATTGGATGAAAATAAAGCTTTGTGTATTCCCAGTTACCATACAAATTTTCCTCATCTTGGGCTTCAGATAATTACACTATCAGATTTGGAATGTGACTACATTAATGCTAGATCGTGCTGCTCAAAACTCAATAAAGTAAATTATTCTTCTTTGCATTTTATGTGGTTTAAAAAAAATGGCTCTTCATCTTAGCATCGCAAACAACAGGGGTGTAATGTGTGTCTGAAGAGCCTCAGTTGGCATTATTTGGCTTATATCCTTTATTTCAGTCTGCTTGTCTTTTGATGGCTGTCTGTCTGCAAATTCAGTCAGGAAAGGCTGTTCCTCTGACCCTTGGTACTCCACATTCCTGGGGCTGAGACTTAACTCTTCACAAACCTCTTAAGTTCTGTGCTTTTGTTTTTGAAAGCCACACCAAGGATGTCTGTCTGTGACTGAACTCTGAGATCTTTATAGCAACTTTCTCAGATGGCTTCTGTGTAATTTCTCTCCAAAAGTAGAGAGTTTTACTATGATAAGAAAAAGTACCATTTTAACCAAATCAGTATGGCCTTCCTGCATGGGTGCTCACTTTGATTTTTGATATTTTCTTTCTTAGTGTAAAAGAGAATGCTGCAGGATACTGTAAAGGTGAAAATGTGTTACTGCCGGGGCTGACCCAATTTGACTATGACAGTTTTCATATTGATCAACTTTCTTATCTGTTCCAAGCCTGAGGGTGCTTGTATGTCCTGTGTCTGTGCACATTTTAATTCTGCTTCTCTCATTCCTAAATCCAGTTCTCTGCAGTGATTTCAAATGAGCACTGTATATTTCTTATCTCTCTTTCTTAAGTGCTTGTGTAACATAGTTGTGTTCAAACAGCTGCTGTGCTTCTCTAGAAACTTTTGTAATACTTGGATAAAGGATGTCTGTTAGCCCAAAACCAGGCCCTAAGATATTCTAACTCACATGGAATTTGTCTGAAGGTATCCATTTCCCCACATGTGATGAAATCATATGCTTCTGCCATGATTTTTCTGCCTGAGTTTTACATGATTAGAATTAGATGATAACTCTATAGATCTCTTCTTCAGAAAAGAATTTACATTTGTGCATATAATTCCTTTTCTTCCCTTTTTACAGTGGGTGGTGCCTGAAGTGATTGGCCATGCTGTTGTAACAGTATTAATGCTTATTTCATTGCACTGGTTCATCTTTCTCCTTAATTTGCCAGTAGCAACATGGAATATATATAGGTAAGTGCAAAGGGTTTTGTGTGATTTTTATTTTTTTCTTTCTTTGTTACTAGGTGTATAATATTTTGTGATGGGATGTTTCATTTGTGTTCTTGAGCTGCCAACAGTCTTTATGGATCTAACTAACATAAAACTCTCCTCTCCTTGCATTTAAAATTACAAGAAACCAAACAGTGAAGGGTAAGAAGCTTCTGGCCTGTAGTACAAATGTTTGGAAGGTAGTATCCTTGCATTCTCCTTAGTGCCCAGGAATCTTGATTTGCAAGTCATTCCCAAGTTCACAGGAAATAGTGTCATTCTAATCGGGATTATGAAGTAGTGCTGCAAACACAGTTAATGTTTTTCATGCTGTGTCTACATGCCTGATAGTGATATCAGCGTAAAAGTATGGAGGTCAGCATGGCCAATGGTTGTAAAACCGTCAGGCTGTGGTGTCATCCCACACAGCCTCCTGTGTTTGCTGTCTTGCCTGTACCCCTCATTTGCATTGCTTCTGGTCCCCCATTTTGCCTCTTTGTATCTGGAAAGGTTTGCAAACTTTTCACCTTATGACAACTGTTAATGTTACTGGCCTTTATGTACTGGGTTGTCCATGGCTTTGGAATGGTTTATCATCGGTAGGGGTTTCCACATAGCAACACTGGGGCTGGTGGTTCAAAAATGTTCTTTTTGGTTTGTCTCATCTGATGTGAAGAGAACTGAATCTTTACTGGTGCTGTGCTAATGAAAACCAGGTGTGGATTTGTTGCAATTTATCGCTAATCACTATAGTACAGGGAGTCCAAAAGACCAAATGTTTAAGATAGAGGTATAAAAAGTCACTGTAATTCTTGTTTGCCTGAACCTGCTAGGGCTAACTGTTCGCAGGGATGGGTTGAGTTGCTGGTAAAATTAAATGAGGTTTCATAGCTCTCACTAAAAAGAAGTTGAGGATCTCGTTGTTCTTGGACAAAATAACCATGCATTTATCACCCTTGTTACCTACAAAACTGAGAGCAAAGTCTTCGCATGTTTCTGAACTGGAGTAACATGAGACACAGTAAAATTTGTATGCTTAATAAACAAATATTGCCTAAATGCAACAGGGATAGTTCTGTTTGGCCATCTGTATGTACAGCTGCATAACACACTGACCAGTTGCACAAAATGACCAGTATTCCCTTTGGTATCTTCTGGCAAGTATGGAGTTTGCATTTCATGTTTCATTTAGGCTAGACTCCAGAGACACTAGAGGGAATTCATTTTCTTTGAAGCTTTGAAGACCTCTTGTACTGGTTATCCCTTCCCTGCTTCCTTTCGCTTACCGATAATGTTTAAAGTAGCCACTTGCCTTCCCTTGTAAACCTGGTCAGAGAGAATTTGAAAAGGTAACAGTTATTTCTGTTTCCACGCTCCAGGCAGTAAGCCTTGGCTGCTGTTTTGAACTGTCAGCTGAGTATCCTAAATCCAGGACTGTTTTCTTAATTCTAGGGGTGCTGTGCAGGCAATATGTGAATATGACAGTATGACACTTCTCCTGTCCTGCCACAAGCAGTCAAAATGTTAAGCCTGTGTTGCTAATCCTGTTTGCTTTCTGAGGATTGAGGAGTTTCACCCACATTGATTGCCTGGACTATCCCATCCGTAGTGAAGGACTTAGAGGTCTGCAAGAGCAAGTGTATTTTTCAGCATTATAAAGGAAATGTGATGATTTATCTAGGTGTTCCTGCTCCGGCAGGGGGATTGGACTAGATGATCTTTCGAGGTCCCTTCCAATCTCTAGCGTACTGTGATACTGTGTGATTTGGGATAGAACTTTAGTTTCACCCAGTGTTCAATGGACTAAACGTCTGGTAGTCAGAAGAATGGTGGACTGTAAATTAGTCTGAATACATGGATGAGAGGAGAAGGTATCATTTACTAAACTAGGATTAAGTGGGAACAGATGAAGTGTGAACCTATGATCACGAGCTGCAGTCTTCCAGCATCAGCTAAATGTGTTTGAATCTTCTTCATATGTTACAGTATCTCAAGGACCAGTCTCTGGAGTCAGTGTTGCTGCACATGAATTCAGAAAGGTTTAAGATAATCATTCTACTCCAAGAGGAGTACAGAAATGTAAATACTTGTGCTTTTGAGATTGAAGAAGTCTGTGCTTTGTAGTATATCTAAGTGATAATAGAGAGAAAGGTAGGATAATAATCCCTTCCCCTTATCTCTTCCATTCAAAGCCTGCTTAATCTTGATGAGTGAATGGTGGTTACAGGGAGTGCTGGCCTAATTTAACCAGTTGTCTCAATGATTTCAGTGAGGGTAGAGAGGGGTTTTGTGAAAGGGACACCAAAAACAAATCCCAGGGAGGATAAACTGGTCAAAAACAGCATCAAGGGAGACTTTCAAAGTTGCAGCATGTTTATTGTAACATTCTGCTGGCCCTTCTTGTTCAGCATACTCAGGTGCTCACTTAACTTGGTTTATTTTTTGCTGACTTTCCTAGTGTCTTATACAATCCCCAGTGAGACACAGTTTTGCCTTACAATGTCCTTGGTTTAAAACCAGATATTGAAGCACCTTATTTGAAATCAAATCATATTTGAAAACAGATATTTTTTTAGTTCTTAAATATTTCTTAGACCTGCTATTATGTAAACAAAACAAGAACTACAAAGGAAATGTTAAATGCGAGTAGACAAGAAAGAAATCAACTTTGAACACTTCCCTTTCATCTTTGCTAGGTAGACCTGCTTGGGACAATAGGGCCAAATAATGCGATTTTTCCATGTCTTTAAGGAAATCATACCCCTCTCAAAACTGAAGGAGTGAAAAAAGAGTAATCTTTAACATACAGTGAAAATTTTGACCAGAACTTCCACATCCCTTATGAAATGATGTAATCTAGAAGCAAATGTCCTGTTGCTGTGGCAGCAGCTTCCACCGAGTGGAGATCCTGGAGGCACCACCGTATATATTCACTAAAGCTGACAGTTTTCGTGTTCTTTGTGGCTTTGCTGCACAAGTTTTTTGCTGTTCAGAGTAAAACAATGGGCTTGAGTTGGGTTTGTTAGCATCTGGCATCCTTGTGTCCATGACTGAAATTCCTGAGATATATAAGCTGTACTGCCTTGTGGGCCTCTTCGTGGATTTGCCTCCCAGGTTCCACAATTAAGTTGCATCATTTAGGTGTTATCAATGTTCTTAAAAAGCAGAATTAATAAATACTACCTTTATGGCACTCATTTCCTAAGGACATTAGGAAACTCTGCTTTACATAGGATAAATTGATACAGGAAAATTATGTTCCTCCTTTTATTCCAATAAAACTCATTACATTCCCAGTAAATGGACAATAATTTGTGTTATAGTACTAAAAATAGAACAATCACTTAAAACTTCACATTTAGAAGAGAATTTCAAATTGTAATTATTTCACATGAACTATTTCTAATAGGACATAATTGAATTTGTTATTAGTCAAATATGCTGCAGTGCTTCTTAATGCCTCCGTGAGAGAAAGACCAATACTGTGGTCTTAATGGGTTTTGGTTAGTTGTATGGTTTTGGTTGGTTGGTTTGGTTTTATCTTGTCTCCTGCTGCTGCCATAAACCACCCCTGTTTCTTGTTCCTTTCCTTCCCCTTCTGTTATTGAGATGAATGTTGTGAGAGGTGGGGAGTGCCTGTTGGAATACAAGTGGTGCCATTCTTTAAGTATATACAGAAAATCAAGAGGCGTTCTGTTCTGAAAGCTTGCTTTTGCTGTGGGTGAAAGACAAGGAGTTAAATTCCTGTGTAAAAAGAGCATTATTTCAGGAAGGTAGAGCCTGTATGACGCTGAAGTGAAATACTAATAATACTGTTCTAGACTGAGCTCAGCTGGAATGAGAACTTCACGCGCTTGCGTTTGCTGTCCTGAGGAATGCTTATGACAAAAGAACATGCTGCTTGTTGAATTTTCACAGGACATCAACATGTGCTTTGCTGGTGTTACTGTTTTGCTTCCATTTCACTTCGTTTTACTCAACTTCTGTTCTTATGTGGGTTTAGACAGCAGCACTTAGCTTCTTCAGTCCTGCCCAGTCTCTCACCCTGTCAGCCTCAATGTCTCTGCTGAGATAACACAGGATGGGAATGATACACATATGTTTTGTCTCCTCTATGCTGTCTCATTTGACCACTGGCATTTGTGATTATCTGTTTGGGGTTTTCTGCTAAATAAATAATTTATTAGCTAAATTCTTATCTAAATTAAATCTTTTCCAATCCATTTCATTTAATGCATCTTTCCACTGTGGGTGGACATTTCCATCCTAACACCAATTAAAACAAACTGGAATCAGCTATTGCCTGGAAACTCTCCCATTTACACATGGGATGTTGGGCTGATGCGTTTAGTCCTTTTTGTCCTCTTTGATGGTGGGTTGTAGTGGCAGAACTTCACACAATATCCTGAAACTGAAATGGAGTTTAAAAAAAGCTGCCTTATGTTGGACTGTGAAACAGCTCTTCAGATGGAAGTCCCTTCTGTGCAAGCTCTCCTGTTCCCCTTCCTCTATACTCCCTAATGTTTTGATGACTATACTTCTGTTTTGATTTGGTTTCTTTCTTCTTAAACTTTCAGGTACATTATGGTGCCATGTGGAAACATGGGCGTATTTGACCCCACAGAGATCCATAACCGAGGACAACTGAAATCACACATGAAGGAAGCCATGATTAAACTAGGCTTTCATCTGCTGTGTTTCTTCATGTACCTTTACAGGTTAGTTACAAAAATTGCTCCCAAGGAACAAAGGAATTGTCTGCCAGCTATTTTTATCTTCTCTATTCTGCTATGGTAATTGCTGGTATTTGTGTCTTGCATCCTGCTAAGCCTGTCTGCAGGCTCATTATGTGTCTTTATTCTCTCTGATCCACCGTTTGAAAGCTCAGACTACTCCTTAATCTCAAAAATCTGTAAGTACAATATAAGGGGTTACATGATTTCAGCACCTAGAATAAGCAGCCTGTTTAGAATGGAAATAATATTGAATTTACAAGTTCTGTTTTAGAAGCTAAATTAATCAGGCTAAGTTATAAACGGGTGAACTCTGTGATGGGCTCACTTATTACAGGATAGAACAACTACTGTTCTTGTGCTGCAGTATTACTTCTGCAGTCCTTGTCTTTGTGAGTAGAGCACAGAGCACAGTTGCCTTGACTTTGCATTTCAGAATCAAGCACAATTCTCTCATGAAAGCAATACCTGTTGCTACTTGGACGTGCCTCAGTAATCTACTGGTGTCATGTTTTCTGTTTTGTCACAGTATGATTCTGGCTTTGATAAATGATTGAGAAGTTGAAAAAGAACCGTTAGCTGCCAAATTGGGTCATCACTCCAGTGACTGGTTGTGGAGCCACAGACACCTTCTGACCATACCTAAATCAGTGTCATCGTGCAGTATATTTTACCTCTTTGGACAAGAAATATTTTTTTCTGTATTTTTAACATAAAATATTTTCAAAAGACATTGGATCTGTGTAGCACTTGTCTTTGTTCCTTTACAACCCAAACTGCTGGAGCTGCTGCTTCTCTAAGATGAAATTCTTGCTTACAGAACTGATCTCATAGGAATTAAATGGTGGGAATGGAAACTCATTTCAGTAGCATGGGCTAATAGTTGTGGTGGTTCCAGAACAAATTTAAGTGCAGCTCTGATGCCTGTTTCTTAGTGAAAGGTGTCAAGATGTGCCTCTGGCTGTCAAGCTGACCTGTAAGAGCCTAGTTTGAAGCAGTGGTTGGAACACAGATTTCAAAGTGGAGCAGCAGCACAGCTTGCATCTTTGTCTCAGTGTGTTTTCCAGCTAAAAAGCAACGGAATAAAAGTTACGCTTTTCTCCTTTTTCACCCCTCCCTCCCAACAACCTATATGAAGACTTGTGTTTGGATGGATTAAGGTCCCTTTGGTGAAAGTGACACTTGTGTGTAACAGTGAAAAACAGATAAATAAGAAATGTTAATACTTGCTTTTTCCCTTCAAGTCCTATTTTGTTATTGAAATACATCACAGCCCTCCATGCAAGGTATTGCACTGGGATTGGTGTTGGTTACAGAGCAAAAGGCTACCTGCAGTCACTGCTCCCTGAACCTGCTGCTCCCATACACAATGAGCTGAATCAAGAGTACAGCTAGCTCGGGGAGGTGGTCAAGTAAACACAATTCCAGTTACCCCAATGCCAATGTGACTGTGCTTCAAAGACACCAGCAAACTTTATTCTCTTTGCGGAGCTCCTGCATCGGTGACAAGTATATGAACCTGAGTTTGTACCCTCACTGTCCAAATGTCTTTAAATATGTGTGCGGAAGCAGGGTTTTTTGGAAGTGGAACACTTCATAAATACAGTTCTGTAATTAAGTCCTAAAACTCATGAGCTTTTCCTTCTGAAGTACTTGTTCTTGGGTGAATAGCTGTAGTTAGCAGATAGTTTTCATGGCCAGCAGTGAAACGACAACACTGAATCTTGATTTAGTACCTTGTGCTCAGTGCTTGTTCTAGGAAAAGTCTGGCTTTAAATTCATGATGGATAGAGGCCAAGTTCAGCTGTTGCAAAGATGAAAAACTGCTGCAAGTTACACTCATTAAAAATAACGAAGGAAACAGCTCCCACAGCTGCACACCATGCACTGCTTGACACCACAAACATCAGAAGGTACTGCCTTATAAAGCTGAAACCCAGAGAGGATGTAGCTCTGAGTAAAAGTAAAGCAACTAAAACTTTAAAAGAGAGAAAAATTAGTAACTTTTGCCACAGCTTCTATCGTAGGCAATGAGTTACTTATTTGTATGTGAAAGAAAAGTAGAACACAGATTCTGGGTGTTATCTCTTAGAAGAAAGGGCAGTGTTGGTAAGCTGCTTAAGTCCTTGCTGTAGTGCTAATGGTAGTGGAATTTAATGACATTTCACACTGAGAAACATGCTCATTAATCTGTAAGTTCACTGCTTATAAAACTTATATCAGGTTTACATCTTATCTCAAGGTCGTGTCTCTACAATAAGAGCTTTATTGGTAATGAAGATGTTTGTAAGATAGAAATCATTGGAGGCAATGTTTGTAAATGCCAGTACCTCAGGGTTACAGTGATGACAGTAGATAGGGTAGACCCCATTCCCTAATGGGATTGGTAAAATCTATCACTTGCTATGAAAAGCTTCTGTTCTCATCTACTGAGGGAAGTGTTTTTTTCAGAGATATGAGCAGTACAGGGAAGGATAAGGGAAAAGAACAATGCATTTGAAAACAAGACATAAAAATGGGGGCAGCATATATCATTAAGACATTGTATCTTTGACCTAGAGAGATGTTTCTCTCCCTGCTTCCCTCCTCAAGAGTGAGTTAACCATGACAGACCATTAAAAACCTACAAGCATGTTTTCTAAATGGTGGTTGTCAAATACTAAGCAAGCTGTACTTTATTTGAATGCAAACTTCCCACACAGTTTTTAATATAAATAAATTCTCTGTTCATTCCTATCAAACATCGTTATAACAGTTGTAAAAACCCCAGGGAGCTACAGAGAAATTACACTGGTAATATTTAAGCCCTTCTTACTGTACAGGGTCATTTCCTACCTAAATAGAGAGCCTCACAGAGCTCAGCATCAGCAATCGGAAACATGTATTTGTAACTGCTAAAAATGTAGTTAATTAGGTAGAAATCTGGATGCTACAGGCATCTATCTCATGGGAGAGCAACAAAGCACAGAAATCCTATGGTAAAAATCAAAACTCCCTATTTTGTGGGTCTCCATCAGGAGAGAACAGGGTAATTTAAATCCAAGCTTATGATACAGAATTCTAGGCAATTACAAACTTTGGGATGATTTTAAATAAACTTTGGTGTGAGACCAAACACAGACTCCCTCCTATTCACTCACCAGGTTATTATTTCCCTTTGGAATGGAAGTATCCAAATACAGCTTTGTGAGGGGACCATTAGTTTATCCATCAGGTGATTAGCTATGATTTCTCAAAGCCCTTAATCCACAACAATTAATCTGCACTTGGCCTACAGGATCCATTTAACAAAGGAACCACAGGAACCTTAAAGTTAAAATAGAAGGTTATTACCCTCTCTTCCTCATGCACAGTCTAGAGCCTGGCCAGCTTGTGAAGACAGGACTCAGTGAGCAGGTTGCAGAGCTGGGACTGCACTTGGGAGGGGGATTAGTTAAAATGAACAAGAGCATGTTTGCCTAATTAATCATTACACATACAGACTGCTGGTTATTTAGCCTGCTTTATTAAAGAATATACTTAGATCTCCAGCCTACTAAATTACTGTGGAGTTGGTTTCTTTCTACAATAGTTTTATATTATGGAACACAGGAATTCAGTGGGTTTAAAAGGATGACCAATAGTCCTAACAACAGTTCTACATGCAGGTGAACAATCAACCTGACTCCCTGATAAGCCTATAAAAGCAAATCTTTATCTGTTCAGTATTGGCATAGCTTGAGTCTACTTTTTCTTCACGAGAAGCTCACTCGGATTTTGTACAAATGCCTTTTTTTTCCCCTCAGGATGCAATAATGAGAGTGGAGGGTAGCGACAGGAAAACTGGGGCTATACGGACCACAATGCATTTATCTGCACATTAAGCACCTTAGCTGTGGCAGAAAGGGTAGAGGTGTACAAACATTGTGGGTCTTTTAAAGTGAAGAGACAACTGGGACTGCCACTTGTCTGTAACAGATAGCTTGAGCATATGCAACACGTGCACTGAACAGAGGGATGTATCAAGCAGCACAGAGAGGAAGGCAAGGAGTGCCAGAGTAAGCCCGAACTGCCCCTTAAATACCCTACCTCAGACAGAGTTTGGATTTAAACTACTTACAAAACACTCATCTATCATCAGGTTCCTTATATAGTTTCTTTTCAAGAATCTGAAGGCTTTTAAAAACAGTTAAAAAGTTACAATTAATTTCAAATCTCACATATGGTGAAATTTCACAGTTCTACCGAAACCATTCTTTGTTTCTCATCACCAGTTAAAGGCAGACATAGGACAGCAGATGAAGCACAGTAACAACCCCATCCAAAAACCTAAACTACTTTCATCTGCTGCGTGGAACATGTACAGCCGAAGCAGGTCTGTGATCTAACCATGCTCCTGCCAACACAAGCGCCCAAGGGAAGAGGCACAAAGCAGCACATGGAAAGGAGTGAGGCCGGCCCTTTCCACCTGCCGCTGCATTTAAGCCATAATGATCTATATACTGCCTAAACTGTAAGGGAGGGAATAAAGATAATACAAAGGTGCTACTACAGGGAGTAAAGACCTTTTCTAATCAATAGAAAAGCTCAAAGAATTGAAAATGTTGAATGCATTTCAGCAGGTTTGAGTTTGGAAAAGCTACAAGGAGGGGAGGGCAGCTTTTTCTTTTGCAGAACATCAGCTAGAACCGAATAAAAATGCCTAAAATGCAGGACAAAGATGAGGTTCTTTTTGAAGGCAGAAGGAAGGATGAGAACACAGGGCAAGTTAGAAGGAACAAAGGCAACAGTCAAGAAGCAGCTTCATTCAAGAGCTCTCAGCTACAAAGCTGCTTAGGCTGGCTTCAGATAGAAGCCTGGAAGTCCCTGAACTCTCATTTGAGAAAAGTCAACCAGGAGATGTAAGTACTTTTTACAAGGGCATGTAGCGATGGGACAAGGGGCTTTAAGCTGAAAGAGGGTAGATTTAGACTTTAGGAAGAAGTTCTTACCCTGTGAGGGTGCTGAGGTGCTGACACAGGTTGGCCCAGAGACACTGCAGCTGCCCCATCCCTGGCAGTGTTCAAGGCCAGGTTGGACAGGACTTGGAGCAACCTGCTCTGGTGGAAAGTGTCCCTGCCTGTGGCAGGGGTTGGAACTGGATGAGCTTTAAGGTCCCTTCCAACTCAAACCATTCTGTGATACTTTAGGAGCATCTTGCTAAGTAGTATAAAAAAACCCCACAAAACCCCACAAGCCTCACCATTTGCCAAAAGCAACCTGGGTTTAGTATTTAAGCAAGCTTCAGCATTAAGGAATCAAGGCTCCTGTGGAGCCTCAAAGGAGCTGACATTCACTAAGTTAGGTAAGCACAGAACAGCACGCAAGGAAGGCAACTGCTTCACAGACATTGAGAACGTGAAGGCATTGGGTAGATTACAGCTAACCATCAAAACCCAAAGACCTGCTCACAGCATGGAGCAAATTCATCTTCAGCTAAACTGCCACAACTGATCTTGCTACTGAGGGAAGGAAATACTACAAATAAGAAAGAAATGTATAATTAATGATCAAGAGATTAACATCCAAGTCAGTCATATAAGTGAAGTTAGGGAAACTAAGAACTATTCATTCCAGTTATTTATTCTGTTTATTGAATTGAAAGAAAGGGAATACAAACATTTCTGTTCAGTGCTGTGCACCAACATGGAAAAAGTGTAATCTCGTTGTCTTTTAAAAACCCTAATAAAAACAACTCAAAGTTAATGTCGTTCC